TGTTATTAATAATATATATATATATATATATATATATATATATGTTGTAAAATATAAAATATATACAATGTTATTTAACAATATATATATTCGGATATACGAGTTTAAAATTATGTTATATCAAAATTAAGAAAATTTTTTTTTGTAATAAAATTTCATGAATTCATGTAGAACATAATGGATTATATATATTATTATATATGAAACAATTTTTTTATTAAAATATCATTTCGAAAACTCTAATAGAACTCTAATAGAACTTCGTAAAGGTTGAAATGAATTTTAATTCTTAACCTTAATTCAATTTATTTTGTTTTATGATAAAAATATTAAAAAAGATTTTTCATGTATTTACTATTGAAGTTATTTTTTTGTAAGAACATTATTAATATAACGCTATCAAGTTAATTTAAAAGAATAAATAAAATTAACTAATATTTTTATAAAAAAAAATTTTTAAAATTATTAATTGAAAGATTAAAATTTCAGAATTTTTTTAAAAATTCTGTAATGCTAGAAGATAGAATAAGAATTAAGTTACGTTATCTTTATCTTTATTTTGTTATAGAAAAAAGGCAAAATTATATTCGAAACATAAAAATTATATGTGCTAAATTTTATAGATTGAATTTAATTTCTTAATGAAATTTTTTCCAAAAACAAAAATTCTTTCATATAAAATTTATGTTCTATAAAAATCACTTTTATTTTCAATATAGAAGCGAAATAATTCGATAAAAACATGTGAAAATGACAATGCTACTCAATGGCAGTTATATATTGTGATTCGAATGTGGTAAATGACGAGGAAAGATTGCCATCATTGAGCATTACTAATATAATGTATGTTAAACTAACATTTCTCAAACTATTTTCCTTTTAAATCGAAAATAAAAATAATTTTATAACTTTCTTTAATTATTTTTTTTAGCAGAAAGATTTATTTTATTGCATAATATAATTAAATTCCTAGATTTCCTAGTTTTTGAAATAAGTTTTTGAAATTGAAAAATATTATCAGCAAAAACAAATATATTTTAGCTGTTCTTTTATTTAACATGTTTAGATATTATAATCTAATAATTTATATTATTTTATTTGAAAGAATTCACAGAATTATTTTAATTAAATAAGTAAATTATTATTAACTATTATTTAAATATTTTCAATGTTGTAATTTTTTTTAAAGTTGATTTTTTTTCAAAAATTGATGATTTTAGTGGAAAATAATTTATTGATTCATATTTAGGATATTAAAGTTTATAAAAAATACTTATTGAAGATTATAAAATCAAACGCATTAAATAGTGTAATCTAAAAAGAAAATATATGGAATAAATATTTCGTTTCTTAGAAAGTAATGAATTATCAAGTAGTAGGTAACATTAATTATCAAGAAATAATTTTTTTGGTAAAAAAAATTAAGATTATCTTGACTTTTTTAATGACCATTATATTTTTGATTTTATAACTGATATCAAGACGAATTCTTATATTATTAAATATTAGGACTTAATAATTTTTAAATCCTTTTAAATAACTTTAAATTTAAAAATCTGAATTAGATTTAAAAATAATGCAAAATTTAATTCTGTATCACATAAAATAATATTAAATTTAAATTATTGAATTCGTATTGATTAAGTACAATACATCATCAATATTAAAATCAGAAATAATATATATTTTATAAATTCAAAGTGATATTTTCAAAATGATATAATCGACACTTCTTTTTTTAGATTTATAACAATTTAGATATAACAATTTCACAATATTAAAAATTAATATATATATAATCTTTCATAAAAAGATTTTCAAAATATATATACAATGTATGTCAGTTTTTTTCTAAATTTTAATAGCTTTTTATAATTAATCAAAATAAAAAAAAATTGATTTTCCATTCTGATATTCTTAGTTTTTGTATAATATCTTATTTTTATTCTTATATTTTCAAAAAAAAAATTGTTAAAAACCAAGAATGAAACAATTGTGCTTCGAATTCATATTTAGAATGAAAAATTTTATCAGAATTATATATTAAGCAATATGACGGATTAAAATTTGTTAAATAATATTGGATCAAATTAGATTAATAAAATTAATTTAATTTAAATAATGCTTGAATTCATTTTAATCGAAAGAATCTTAACAACTTTATTTAACATTACTATTATATATTATTATAGTAATGATAAGTTATAGTATATGATAAGATGAAAATGAAATTTTCTTTATTGTGGAATTATTTTTTTTTTATAGCATTTCTTTTTATCTTATTTATCTCATTTATAATTGTTATATCTATTTTCTTATTTAACTTCAGTGAACGAGAACAATATATAAATAATAAAAAAAGAATGGAGATCGCGTAATTCAATCAGATTTCATGAATTAATAGGATTTAATCGAACTCGATTGTAAACATTTTAATTTTAATAGTCTTTATTTTCTGTTCAAATTCTTGTACTTACTAAATCTTCAATTTATATTAATTTATATTAATTTATCTAACATTTATGTATCCATATGTATCCATTTGTTCTATAATAATTATCATGATTGATTATAATGTTTTTTCTCGTCTATAATTATTATTTTATAATTATAATAAAAAACAAATATTTATATATGGAATATAAATAATTTATTAAATTTAGTTACATTTATATACTAAATCTGATTGTATTGAAAATGTTAAAATATATGATAAGAAATAATTTTTCTTAATATAAATCATTATAAAATATATTATAAAATAAATCATTATATATTATCACTTTTTTTTTAATTTCCATTTTTTATATAATATTTACAAAATCAATTTAATTAAATAAAAAAATTTTTCAAATCTACATACTCACTTTAAATAATGGTATGTACATAATTCATAAAATATTACATTCATAACATAATTATAGTTATCTATATATTAATATCTATATATAATTTAAACTAAATTATATAATATTATATAATATTATATAATTATATAAAACATAAAATAAAAATAAGTATTATTAATATATAATAATAAATAATATATGTATTTTAAAATTTTTAAAATTTATTATTTATTTTCATTTTAAAATTTGGTAAAATGTTATCTTACAACACATGACTAATTTAAATTTAAACTTAAATTCTATTTTAAAAAATATTCATTATATCTATAAAAAATAATATAAATAATTAATATGTTTGAGTTTTTTACTAAATATATCAAGATCGTATAATTTCTTTTTCTATTATTGATATATGAAGCATATTTTGAATCTGTTATTAATACATGAAGTGCGGTTTTACGAAGAATATTATATTTGTTTTAGGTTCTTTTCAATATTTTTTTTACTGATTTTCGAACAAATAAATAAAAATGTTTCGGCAAGTAAGTTAAAAATATTATAGAAACAAATCTTTATAAATTAATTTAGAAAATTAGATATATTTTATTATTTTTAGGTTATTCCACAAATGATTAAGAATAGTCGTATAATTAAAAACATGCAAATTTCTACTGACACTATTGATATTAATATGAAATTAGAAAAATGTAAGTAAAAAATTTTATAATTTATTAATTTTATAACTATATATGAACAATTATATCAGTAAAAAATATATATAATTTATATTTTAAATTTTTTACTTTAAGGTTAGAAAATTATTTTAATTTTAACCTTTTAATTTCATATATATCTTGTATTTAAATATAAAGTATAAATAATTAATATTAAATTACATAGTATTTGTTTATTTTTGTATTAAAAATATTTATTTTCTGATAATATGCAATAAACAATGTTTTAAATATATTTTAAATAAATAGAATTATTGTTTTATTTTTCATTTTTCATGTTAAATTAGTCATAATCAAGTTATCTAAAATTAAAAAAAGATTATTTTTTAAATAGTCATTTTAAATAGATTATATATTAAATAAATCAATTTGTTATTTACAGATAAACATGTTATAAACTCATTATATTATGGTTAATAAATTTTAGTTTTATTATATAAATTAATTGCTAAAAAAAATACAAATATCTGGTATGTAATTAATTTACATTAATTGAGGTAACAAATAATCTTTTCTGTTTTATAATATATTAAAATTATAATAAAAAAATATTTTTATTTCGGATTCGTTGGTTTTTTCATATGAAATATTTAAACTATTATTACACTAATAATTACTAATTCATATTATCCTATACATTTTGATTTATAATTAAATATTTGTATTTTTATATTTTTCTTATTCTTCTCCGTTTAATATATTCTAATTCTCCATTTTTTTTCATTCATAGTTATAAAGTAAATTTAAACATAAATAATATGTAATAGAAAAGGAAATGTATAAGTTAGAAAAAATTTAGATTTTTTGAGAGTAAAGATAAAAGTAAAATAAAAATGTTTTTATCAAATCTTAAAGTAATCTAAATAAATTTAATTATTATGCATGCTATTAATATATATTAATAGATTAAATTTATTTTTACCTGTTTATTATTATTTATTGAATAAAATTACAAATTTAGATTTAAATTATTAAAAAAGTTAAAAAATTTCTGTGTGAAACTTTTACTTTACTTGAGATTTTTTTTATAATATAATATTGCAAATAATTTCATTAAGAATTTAATGATATATTAAGTATTCTATATTTAAGTATGTACTTTAATTTTGAAATGTTGAAATATATATATATAATAATTTGCAAATTATTCAATTATATTTATATTTTTCTATAAATATATTTTTAAATTATATGTTGAAAAAAATATATATGTATATGTTATTTCTGTTATGAATTAGGATTATCATGATTACGTAAGCTAAATATTTTTTTTAATATATAATAATATTATTATTTTTAAGTAATAATATTATTTGTTATTTAAATTTCAAAAAATAGAATAATAGATTTTATTTATCATAATAGCTTTTATTTTCTTGCAAGTACTCTTCAGGTTCAATATTTGGTATTAAAATAATATTAAAAAAGTACAAAGTTAAATTTTAAAATATTATTAATAATTTGATAATATTTTTTTATTATATATTTTATTTACAGTATTGAATCTTTATTCAGTACTTATTTTTTTTCTTTTATTATTGAAATAATTATTTTTATTATTGAATAATATGACAATTGATTTATTAATCCAAGTGTTTATTAGAATTTGTAAATTTATAATTTTAAATGTAATTTAAAATGTAATTTAAAGATGTTTTTATTCTTAACATTATTTAAGAATAATATCAAATAAATATCACAAATACTGTTTTTTTATATTTCTTTCTATAATCTTTGTTAATTGTATATATTAAAAATTTAAAAATTATTATCAAAAATAATATAAATATTAATTTAATATTAATTGTATAAATTACAGCTATAAATCAAGTTACTTTATTAGGAAGAGTAGGAGGCGAGGCACAGAAAAAGGGTAGCGATGAACATCCTGTTGTTATTTTTTCTCTTGCCACACATAATAATTACAAATATACGAATGGTATGTTAATAAATGTAAATAATATTAAATGATTTCATAATTCATAAATTAAAAAATTTATAAAAAATAAAAATTTATAAATAAATTTAATTATTATAATTTTTATTTATAAATTGAATTTATTTTATTTTTTAATATTTTTATATAATTAGTTTATAATATATTCAAAATACTATTTCAATTATAATAGTTATTTAAATTTTTAAATTAATAAAATAAATGTCTTGTATTTATAATTGTTAATGAAATTTGAAAAAATAACAATTGTATAATATTGAATTATGAAATTTATATTTGAACTATTACAATAAAATTATACTATAATATAGATTTTAAACTGTATTGTAATATACATATATTTGAAATTATAAAAAATTTTAACATATAATATATATAAAAAACATTTCAGGAGATTTTGTGCAACGAACAGATTGGCATAAAATATGTGTTTTTAAACCAAATTTACGTGAAAATGTGTATACTTATTTAAAAAAGGGTCAAAGAGTATTAGTATCAGGAAAAATAAGTTATGGAGAATATAAAGATGAAGAGGGTATCATTAAATCAACTACTGCAGTGATAGCAGATGATGTAATATTTTTTCATCATTAGATTTATAAATATAATATAATTATGTATAATATTTTAATATGTAATGATATCATTTTATTTTACTAAAATGTAAAATGTATAAATAAAATTAAATATGAAAAATTTTATATGAAAATAAACATTTATTTTTAAATATTTTCATATAAAATTTACATTTAAATGTGATATTTTTATTCATTTCATTAATTGTAAAAAATATATATAATTGGATGATGTACAGGAATTTGAATTGCAATATTATTACTTTATGTGTTTTCTTGATAAAGGATAATAAATTGATACTTAAAATTAGCTTAATAAGTAAATAAATCTTTATTTACACATTGCTCATCCACTTGAAATGAGTTATACAATAAACAATTCGTTAATTTTCTAAAATTGTACAAGTTTTACTTTATACAGGATTTGTAAACAAAAATGAAATATAAATTTTTCTTTTTTTTCATAAATCGGAAAGGAAGTTTGTAAATGGAAAAGGAAAAAATTCTTGACGATGTGATGGTCTTTAAAAATTCTACATTACATGCATGATACACATACATGTAAATTTCTATAGATATATGATAATCTGAATCAAAATAGTAATCAAGATTGAAACATCACTTTTTGTTTTGTAGGGCTTATTTTTTTTTTTAAACATCAATTTTTTCATGTAACACATGTGTATAACTTCTATAGATTGATACGCAAGTCTAATACTTACGAATAAATAATTTTTAAATACAATCACCCGTTAAATGTATTAAAGTGTGTACAGAGAAATACCAAATCTTACGATCAAAATTTGGGTTGTTTTAAGAACACAATTTGTGTATGTGTATTTTAATATATTTATCACTAATATAAATTGTTCTCTCATGAAAATTATGTACACGATTGTTTTTTATGCATTTTTATGATAAAAACTTCACGGAGATCACAGTATACAAATAGCCAAATACAACTTTTTTTTTTCATTTATAAATCTCTTGCTGCTAATGCACTTTTCATTTTCGCAGACTTCTATTTGTCTTTCTCTCTTTTACTCTTGCACACACACATTCTCACATATTCATACACATGTATACGTACATTGATTCACTCATGATAAGAATTTTTTCATACTTTCTGTCTCGTGTGTGTGAGTCGAGTCTTTAGTAAAAATATGATCTTAAGACCAGTTTCTAATCATACACGCGCCTTCGGTCCCTAGTGACATTTCTTTTTTATTTCTTTTTTATTTCTTTAAAATCTAGGATCCGTTGGCGAGGAATGTGAGCCACAATCGCATCGACAACGAACGTAGAAATTTCGAATATAAATTTCTCTTCGGTAGTAAAATATATATATATATAATATATATAGAGATTTATTTATACATAAATTTATATTCATATATATGTATATATATAACTCTGGCCCCGAATTCCTTAAAACTCTCGCATTTTTTTTTTTTTTTAATTGAGTTCATTATATCTTTTTTTTTTTAGCTCGTCAACTTATTTACACGTATCTATTACACGATTTAGGGATATAAACGATCCTCAATATCGTTTCAATTAAATTTCAAAACGATAGATACGTTTTCTCCCTTTGTTTCTTTGTATACAGAACGCTAAACTAAACGCGCATATATACGTATTACCGACGATTAGATTGGCACAACTGAGTCGGTGCAACGGGAAACTAACTTTGAAATTTCATCGAATTTAAGTATTTACAAAATGGATCGCATAATATTGAATCCTCTTTACAGGATCGAACTATATATTACATATAATCGTTAATCTTACATAAAAATCTTTCATAACAACTTCTTTTGTTCAAATAAAAAAATGTTCGATAAATTCAATCTCTAGTTACAACTAAGTATATGTTACTCCGAGAAATTTACTTTCAAGCTAAAGTTTACATCACAGAATAACTTTGGAATAAAATATTTCGATCGTTTCCCGAACACCGTTTTGTACGTTCGTCGATAACGCTCTATAAGCATTTCTAAAGTAGTTCGTTGTAGAAGCGAGAAACGTTTCACACTCGCGTACGTGCGTTAACACGAAGGATGGAAAACAAACGGCGGAATATCCGCGAAAGTTCAGCTTCATCGAAGCGTCCTCCACAATTGTAGCACAATTGGCTTTTTCAACAAGATTCTGAACAGCCAATTATCTATTTGAAACGCGTGGAAATCGATGAACCGCGTTGATGATTGCTCGATCCTCGATCCTCGATTCAAAATCGGTGGACGTTTTCGAAGTTGCGGTCGAATATCGAAATAAAGTTGACAAATAAACCAAGAACCAGATAAGCATTATGATATAGTACTAACAATTAGTTTTCGATTCAAGGCAAGTCAACGACGTTACACAATGTTGTTGTTTTCAAAATTATTCTCCTCATAACTTGTATATTTTGATACATAACTCGCACAATATTTTATTTGTCAGTCTTTTATCATGTATTAGTTCCGGAGACACGTTAATGATACGATAGTTGCTAATTTATAACCTAATAACTTTCTCGCAAGCTTTATTATTTGAACAGTGGCGCTGATGACCTAGTGATTCTTAAACGGCAGCAAATATCCCTAGAGGTGTATTATTTTGAAAACAAACATTCTTTTTCAACAATTTTGTCAACATACTTGACATATAGCTAAAAGTAAATCTCTTCGTATTATTTCGAAACGTGACTGTTTCGAATCAAATAACGAGTATGTGCATAACACAAAATATGTTGATCTTGTCAGCATTTAAAACGGATAGTCACAATGCTATGTTTCACGTCACTTTTGCTCTTCCGACTCTTGATTGGTTTTTACGAGATTATACGCATGACTTCTATATTTTACAGGTGGATCGAGAAGAGATAGAGGTTGTTGCTGTTGTTGCTCGCTCGATGGCTGACTCATACTAGACATCGAGAGGTCTGTTGGCATATCGATTTCCGGCTCGACGCCACTTCCGCCTTCTTCTTCCGGTTCTGACTTTATCCGCATTTGCTGACGCAGCTGAGATATGTTCTTTATATTCTTCAACTCCGTTGGGTTTCGCAGAAATCTAAACAAAAATGATATTCTGTTTAAAACGAGTTCTATTTCGTTTTGAAATAGTTGATAGATTCAATATTAATGTTTAAATTGTTATTGAATTATGATGACAAATATATATATATATATATATATATAGAGAGAGAGAGAGAGAAAATAAAATCATTTGAACTTTTATAAAAATTAAAGATTTAAATAATATCCAATTTTTTTTCTCTTTTTTATTTATTATATATAATTTTTTGTTATGAAATCATTAAGTTGTTATTTTCTCTATATATGCATTTAATTTTTTGCTATAAAATCATCATATAACTTGTGAAAATATTTATATAATTTATTTTGTATAGTTATATAATATTTCATTTTTATAATTTCTCAAAATTTTTAACAAAATTTTAAAACATTATAAAAAAAATNTTTTTTTANATATATTTAAAAATATCTTATATATATATATATATATATATATATATATATATATATATAA